GGTGAAGGAGATCCAAGCCAGGCATCCATGGGGATCCCCATGACCCCCTGTGCACACTGAGCTCGTGGAGTGACCAGAACCCTGTGGAGATACTCTGACACAGGAGAAACTGTTGGGATTCCAACTCATTTTCACTGCATCAGCACGAATGTGACCTTTGGATAATACCCTGAGCCGTGTGCTGCTTCCTATTGCTCAGGTTGTGTTTGTGTTCCTGGCTCGTGCCAGCCTGAGCAGAACGTGTTTTCTGATGCTGCTTTTGAAATCCAGCAGATAAGGGGGGGAGGGGAAATAAGGCATAATGTCTGTCTGCCACTGTTAATATTTCAGGGGTGCTAATCTTGAATTGTCAACCTGTGTGTTCATACCAGATTGTTGGAGGAGGTAACTTTTTTTCTTTACTTGGAAGAATTTTCATCTGTCTCTGGTGATGAGGAGGGGAGAAAAGCAGATTAAAAGCTCTCTAATGCAAGTATTTTTACCTCTCCGTTTGATATATAATTTATGTTCATAATCGCTATGTAATCCAAGTCCTGATTTTCTGATGATGTAGAATAAAGTTATAAACTCAGGTAACTTGTATGACACTGATCAGAATGCTTGTAGGAATATCTCAGTTTTTGGTTTTAAAACATGCAAAAGAGGGGGCACTGGGTTGCTGATGTAGCTCTGTCCGCTCTGAATTGATTTCTTATGTGGATTTTATCTGTATAATCACTCTTTGACTGTTATAATACTGTGCTTTCTATAAGAATTAAAAAAAAACTTAATTTTTTGTGGTTTTTTACTGTCATCATTATTAAGCTAAAATATATGAAATTATACTTGATTATTATTGCATGTCTCTGGTCCTGTATGCAGAAAAGCAATGCCCGAGGTGCATTTTTGGCATCGGTTTTGCTCTTCTGTTACCAGCATTGACCACACTGTCAGATTTAACTCCTGCAGCACTGGCTGGGATAAGGATCCCAACTGTAGGAACAAATTGGGGCGGGTGTCATCCCTTACCAAACACTCCTCTCTGGGGCAGGAGGCTGTGGCAGGACCCTCTGCCAGAGCAGGGCACTGGGCACGAGGCTGTAGCTGGTCTGCCCCTCAGATAAAATAAGGACATACACAAATAAGGAAAAATAAGGATGTGTGTAGGTGATCCCACTGCCTCTTCCAAGCTAAGAGGCACAGGGGCAATATGCTGTAAAGGTAACTGCTGTGGGAGAGGGGATGAAGCAATCCCTGTGTGAGGAGCTCCCTAGGGGTGGCACAGGCAGGTGAGGAAGGTCCTATTCCCCTGAAGGTGGTGTCTCTGCCAGCTTCTGCTCTGTAGCTGCTGGGATACTGGACTGTCCAGCCTGTTTAGCCTGAAGCCAAATTAACACCTCCAAACTGGTTCCAGTCCTGCCTTGGAGTGTTTTTTTACCTCCTCACAAAGCATCATACTCACTGAGCTCCTCTGCTCCAAATGAAGTTCTGACTCACCTACAGGTTTTGCTCTGACTCTTCACCTGCCTTTCGGGTTCCCAGTTCCAGTGAATGCTCTGAGCCTGCTGGGAAGGGAACTTGGGCTGTTTGTTACTAAAGCTGAGTAGAATTTGAAGCACAGAAGGCAACATCAAGGGGTATATTCCCAAATTACTCCTTGATGACTCCCAAGAAGCACTTGAGCCTCTCTCCATTCCTCCACAGGGCTTGAGTGAAGGAAATGAAGGAGCCCTGTGGAATGGAGTGGCTTTGAGCCATGGAGCTGGGAAATGTGTGTTTGCACTCTCTGCCTCACAGAGGCTGGGACAAAATTGTGGCTTTCCCCAGTTGCCTGTCCCCTCTGCAGTGAGGTCCCCAGGTCCTCTTGCACTGAGAGCTGCAGCCTCATGGGAACAAATCAAAGCACTGGGAAGGACACCCTGGGAGAAGTCCTTCTCCATGTGCTGCAATCATTCCATGGGACAGCTCAGCACAGTCCGTGTGGGAACTGCTGAAGGCAGGACCAGCTTGGATGACAAGGACAATAAATGTGCTCCGGGGACACCCACATGCTACACTTAACTGAGCACAGGGATGTAGGTTTGTATCCTGCCACCTCCCCTCCCGCCTGCTGCCACTGCCAGGAGATGATTTTCCCTGGCACCGGCTCTGGCTCCACCTGCAGCCCTGCTCTACCTTCTATCCATGCAGAAACCACCAGACACCCCTTGACCTGAGTCTACCCCACTGTGCAGGGCAGCCAAACCCACCCAGACTCGGGGACCGTGGCAGGGTAAATCCTGTTGTGGTACAAACTGTCCAAACATCCTTCCTGATCCTCTCCGGGACCAAGTGTGACCGTGGAGACAGGGCTTTATCTGCGCGCAGCACCCGCCAGACAGCTAATCTTGGGAGCACGTCTGCACTCCTTAGCGGGGCTGGGGGGAGGCTGCAGCTGTGCAGGAGACGGGATTCATCTGCTTCCCCTCATACACATGCAAGGAAAGCCCCTGCCCGCCCCTCTCCCGCTAGCGTTTGCCTTTCATTTGTCTCCACAGCCGCCCTTTTTCGCGCCACTGAAAGCCCCGGAGAAGTTGCAGCGCAGGCAGCTCCGGGGAGAGGGGGCAGAGCTGCTCCCCCCCTCACCCCGGATAAGCTCCCGCATGAATTAGGGGAGGACCCAGCCTTTGTGAGCAGAGCGGGAGCAGCTGGTGCAGCAGCTGTGTCCCAAACCCTGCTGCAGCCCAGGAAGCGCCTGGCTGGGGCTCCCCAGGGATGGGGAAAGCACTGCCAGCCATGCGCTCCCGCCAGGATGGTGGGGCTGCCTTTCCTTCCCGCCCCCCCCTCCCCAGATGGAAGAAGCATTAACTGTGTGCAAACATCTGGTCTAACTGTTGCTTTTGCATCACAGTAATGATGATACCGCGGTGGAAGGGCTCCGGAGAGCGGGCCCTGGAATATTAGAGGGGCCAAGTGTTAATTAACTGTATTAATTTCCTTTGAGCGAGGCAGTGTTTCCATTTGCTCTCTGCTGATGAAGAAATGAGGCACAGCGAGCTGATGTGATTGGTCACGGACATGCAATATGTTCCTGATGTATTTAAGGATGTGGGGATCCGGGGAAATCACGGCACTGAATGTCCTCGGGGGAATTGCAGCCACTGCCAAAGTATCCAGCAGAAAATCCTTTAAAGCCAGAAACCTGTTAGGCCGGGGCAGGGGCACTGCGTGTCAGGATCTGCTCCGCAGCACAGGAGTTAATTCAGTGCTGGGAATGCCTCTTGCATCCCACGCGCTGCTGGAAAAAACCACGCCGTCTCCTCATGCCGGGCAGGTCGGGGTTGGCAGCGGGGCTGGGGCGGGAGCCAGCGCTGGCCCACAGCCCCGCCCGGCAGCACCAAGAGCTTGGGGGCCACTCTGCTCCACCATGAGGCCCCCTGGGGACCCGTGGGACAGCTTTTGGGGGCACAGAGGGGCTAAACCCTGGGCTCGGCTCAGAGGGGTGCCTGGCTGAGACCCCACTCCACACTTCCCCCACGAGCTTCGACATCTCTGGGCCCTGCAAAAATTCTAATCTTTAAGTGCTTTTTAGTGTTTTGTTTTGTTTTGTTTTTAATAGCAGGATGTATTTTTTTTCCCTTTTTAATTCTGCCTTCTCATGCAGAAGGGGGGTTATCGGTGTCCTGCAGGCGGCAGATACCGGCGGTGGGAGCCGCCTGTGCCTGTCTCGGGGTGGATTATTATCCCTCCCAGCATATGGGGCCACTCCCGACCCCGTCTACCACCCCTCTGTCCCTGCACCTCCCCGATCGCGCCAGGGCTCGCTCCCGGCACGGCCAAGTGCGGGCTGTGCCCCCAGCAGGGCTTTCCCTCCGGGGTTATCAAGGGGTGCTGCAGGAGCCGCCGAGACCCGCAGCTGGTGGGTTTTGTTTGAAAACACCGAATGCCGTGAGTCACCCGGCAAATGGACGGAGCAGACTGCGGCGTCCCAGTCTCTCCACGCGAGCCGGACCCCTGGAACAATGTCAGAGCTCCAGGCTTCCCGACAGCCTCGCCCGGGGGCTCGGGGTTGTGCTTCGAACGAGGGAGAGGGACAACACTGAGCTCATCCCTGCGCGGGCCGGGGTCACCCCTGGGGAGGGGGGACACACAGGGCCACCCCGCAGAGCCCAAACCCACCCTGTGTGCCACCAGTGCCATCCGTGGGTACGAATTTCGCCGTGGGTGTGTGCCGGTGCCCTCCCGCGCCATCCCGAGCGAGGAATGGCCGCGCCCGCAGCCGGAAGCCCGACCGTGAGCCCGGGAGGGACCGGCTCTGCCCGAGGCTTTCCCGCGGCCGGGAAAAGCAGGAGCGGCCAGGGCCGGCTGGGAGCGGGGAATCGGCGGAGGGACACAGGGTGGGCACGGGGGGACAAAAGAGGGGGACACGAGGGGAACACGCACAGGGGGACACACACGAGGGGCACAGGGTGGGCATATGAGACACACAACGGGGGGACACAAGGGGAGATACACGGGGGGCTCAAGGAGGGGACACACGGGAGGACAGAAGAGAGACAAAAGGAGAGGACACATGGGGGGACACACGGAGGGTCACACAGGGGGACACAAGGGGGAGTGAAGGGGGGGCACAAGGGGGGAACACAACGAGGGGACACAGAGGGGACCCCCGCCCCGCCCGCTCCCCACCCACGCGGCGCCCCCGCCGCGTCCCCGGGCCGCGCTCCCATTGGCCACCGCCCCCGGCGCGGCGCCGCCGATTGGCCGCCTGTCAGCGCGGCTCCCCGCCCGCCAATGGGAGCGCGGCACCGCCCACCGCCCCGCCGGGCGCAGCCAATGAGGGCGCGCCCCTTCGCCCCCGCCGCGCCGGGCGCAGCCAATGGGCGGGCGGCGGGGCGGCTCGCGCCGCTTTTCGCGGCAAAAAGGATTTGGCGCGCAAAGGCGCGCGGGGCCGGCGCGCCGAGACAGCCGGCGGGCACCGAGCGGAGCCGCGGCCGGGATCGCAGCCGGGGCTGGGATCGCAGCCGGAGCTGCAGCCGGAGCGCAGCGGCCCCGCGCCCGCCATGGGCCGCGCCCCTACCCGCGCCCTGCCCGCCGCGCCGCCCGCCGCCCCGGCGGCACCGGCTGCCATGTGAGCCATGGCGGCGGCGGGCGGCGCGGCGGGGCTGGCGGCGCTGCTGGGCAGCGCCTCCCCGCACCTCCTCATCGTCTCCGCCGCCGAGGAGCCCGCGGGCGGCGGCGGCGGCCACCCCGATACCGACCTCCTGCTGTTCGCCACGCCGCAGCCCGCCCGCCCCGGCGCCGCGCCCAGACGGCCCGCGCTGGGCCGCCCGCCGGTAACCCCCGCGAGTGGGACGGGGAGGGGGCGGTGGGCGGGCGGGGGCTGCGGGGACCGGACTGTGTACTGGGCCGTGCAGGATTGGGCCGCGTCGAGCCGCCTGGGTACCGATCGGGCCGTGTAGCTGACCGTGCTGTATAGGCGGGCTGTACGCCGAGCTGGGCTATATACCAGGCCGAGCTGAATAGCGAGCCATGCTGTACACCGGGCCGGGCCGTGCTGCTCCCTGCTCTGCCCCGTTCTGTGCCTTATGCCATGCCTTGCTCCGTGCCAGGCCGTTCCCGGCTGTGCCCTGCTCTACAGCCGGGCCGTGCCACGCAGCACCTGCCGGGCCGGCCCTGCCCCGCTGCCGCTCCGGAAGCCGCAGGCCCGCCCGGGCGCTGGGCCGTGCTTTGCCTCCCCCCGCCTCGGCCTCCGCCGGCTTTGGGGCGCTCCCCGCAGCCTGGCGGGGCCCCCCGCGGCGGGGACAGCCCCCCATCCTCGCTGGCGTGCATGGCAGCCGCGGACCTGCTCCTGTCAGCCCCTTCCTGCCGGGCCTCTGTGACCCTGGGGGGATCCCTCGGGTCACATTCCACCACCAGTGGGATGGTAGCTGCCCCTCTGATGGCCCCATCCCTTCCAGGTGAAGAGGAAGCTGAACTTGGAGACGGATCACCAGTACATAGCAGAGAGCCTGCCAGTGGTCCGGGGCAAGGCCAGGAACCCCGCTAAAGGTACTGCTCCCCCTGACCCCCCCTTGACAGTCCAGCCCAGAGCAGGGGTCCTGCAGCCCCACTCAGCTCCCACAGGCAGCTTCTCCCTGTTCCTTCGTGTCAGTTTGTTCCTGGGGCTGACCTGTTTCTGTGCACTGTTCACAGCTGCTGCTGTCCCTGTGGCTGGTGACATAGTTGTCCTGCCCAGCTGCTGGGCACCACACCTGCTCCATCCCTCCCTGTGGATGGAGCTGTAGCTGCCAACACGGGGTGGGTGCAGTGTCCCAGGTGGAGCACAGGTGTCAGAGCCTGTGCCAGGTCCTGCAGCATCCTCCCCATAAAGGGTTTGGGGAGCTCACCCCTTTGCCCTGAGAAAGCACGTTGGTTTTGGGGTGCCGGCCGTGGTCCCTGCTGCACGAGCCACCTGCAAGTATGGGGGCAGTTTTGGGACCTTTCAGCTCCAGCCTTGTGGCTAAAATCACACTTGTCCTTGGTGGCTGGCAGGGGCAAAGTCTCCTGGAGAGAAGTCCCGCTATGAAACCTCGCTGAACCTCACCACCAAGCGCTTTCTGGAGCTCCTGAGCCAGTCACCCGATGGCGTGGTGGATCTCAACTGGGCGGCTGAGGTCCTGAAGGTGCAGAAGAGGCGCATCTACGACATCACCAATGTCCTGGAGGGCATCCAGCTCATCACCAAGAAATCCAAGAACCACATCCAGTGGCTGTACGTCCCTTGCCTGGGCTCGTGGGGCTGTGTCTGGCTGTCCCCTGGGCTGGGAGAGCCGTCTGGGCCAGGCTCAGGGTAGAGCAGGGTCTTAGCGGGGTGGAGAAGCTCAGAGCAGGGTCACCGGAGCATCTGCTCACGGGTCAAGTGGTGGCTCCCTGTGGGCGAGGGCTGTGCTCAGTGGCAGGTGGCTCCTGAGCAGTGCTGGTATTCCTGTTGTCCCCCTTGGGCTCCCTCAGTCATCCCAGGGAGTGGGGGGGCTGCCTCCAGGCTCGGGAAATGGACCCCAGGGTCGTGCCCTACCGAGAAATCCTCACCAGGCTGATTCCCCTGATGTGGGGTGGGATGTAGCCTGGCCTGGGTGGGGACAGAGGGAGCTGTGGGGTGTGGCTGCTGACGGACACGGTGCTCCCCAGGGGCAGCCAGGCCACCGTGGGAGCGCCCGGGCGGCACCGGCTGCTGGAGAAGGAGCTGCGGGAGCTGCAGGCGGCCGAGCGGCAGCTGGACGAGCTCATCCAGATGTGCACGGTGCAGCTGCGCCTGCTCACCGAGGACCCCGCCAACCAGCAATATCCTTTGGTCGTGGGACAGGACCAGCTGGGTGGGGGGATGCGGTTGAGCCCCCGGGGATGAGCTGCAGTCCCTGCATGGAGTGATCCCTGTGCTGTCTGCTCCTTGACCCGCCCCACCGCAGCCTATGTCACCTGCCAGGATCTCCGCAGCGTCGTGGACCCCGCGGAGCAGATGGTGATGGTTATCAAAGCTCCCCCCGAGACCCAGCTGCAGGTCTCAGACCCAGCAGAGGTGAGTTGGGGCCACCCTCTGACCCCTCTGCACAGCCTAGTTCTCCCTGGGCATCCCTGCACTCGCTTGTCTCACTGCTCTCCCCTTTTCCCCAGGCTTTCCAGGTCTCCATGCGAAGCACTCAGGGCCCCATCGATGTGTTCCTCTGCCCCGAGGACAGCTCAGGGGTCTGCAGCCCTGTCAAGAGCCCCTTCAAAGCCTCCACAGAGGACTCTTCGCCCAGGTGTTCGCAGTCCAGAGCCTCCCCACTCCTGCATCCCACCCAGGACGTGAACATGCCACTGCTCCCCGGAGAGCAAGGTGGGGCTGGGGACAGGGATGTTGGTGTGCTGTCACAGTGGCTCTGGCTGTGTTTGCAGCTGTCAGTGCAAGCAAGGAGCTGGGATGATGCTTGGGCACCCCAGCAAGGCAGGGAGGTGGGAACAGCCAGGTTCTCCATTGCCAAAAAATGCTTTTTTGGGGGGTTTATTTGGCAACTTCTGTGGGATTTACAGCTATTTCCCATCCCCACAGAAGCGCTGCTGCCAGGGACAAGCGCGCTGCCCAGCAAGGTGGAGGAGGTGAGCCTGTCACCTCTGGCCTCCATGGACATCCTCCTGGAGCAGAGCAGGGAGGACTTGGCGGGTTTCTTGGCGGATGAGTTCATCAACCTGTCGCCGCCGCAGGCGCAGGACTATCACTTCGGGCTGGAGGAGGGCGAGGGCATCAGCGAGCTCTTCGACTGCAACTTTGGGGACTTCACCCCCTTGGACTTCTGAAGCTCTGCCCAGGTGCTCGGGGGAGCTGCCAGGCGAGGGGGGCAGCCCTGGCAGGGCGGGCAGGGCAGGCGGCCCCTCTGGCTGCAGCGCCCGCTGCTCCTCTCCCGTCCCCTTCTTGCAATATTTTCCTCTTCTCCCTCCACCCCCCCAGCCCGGCGGGGGCCGGGGGCATCCCCAGCTCCAGCCCCACAAGGAGGGATGCCAGGATGGGGTTCCCATCTTGGGTGACTCCCCCCCCAGGGTCCTGGTCACGGGGGAACTGCCCAGGGCAGCCCCCCAGGAGCCCATTCCAGAGCTTTAAGCAGTCCTGTGTATAGATTTGATTAATTTATTATTGTCCCCTGGGGACAGCGTTTCATTTCCACGGGGGTTTAGGGGGGGGGCTGTACAGCAGAGTGAGGGTGCTGAGAGGGTTTGTTGTGCTGGGAGGGGGTGGTGGAGATGTGGGGGGTGCTGGGTCAGGGCTGTGCCCCCTGTGTGGGGAGCTGCCCAGAGCCTGGCTGAGCACGGGGTATTTATTTATTATTTATGGCGAGTGGGAGCTCTCCCGGGACATGGAGGGGGCAGGAAGGAGCAGGAGGCCACTGGGGCCTTGCCAGCACATCCTGGCTTTGCTCATGTCCAAAATGAGGCTGGCAAGGCCACAGCTGTGGCAGTGGCTGGGGGAGGGGGGACGGGGCTGGATGGGCCTGGTGGCCCCAGGGACCATGGGCATGTCTCCTTAGGGGACACAGAGGTGTCCCAGGGAGTGCATCTCTACAGGTAAGGACCCAACGCTGTCTCCAGGCTTTTCTTCCCCTCCCCGTGCAGCCTTTCAGGCTTTTGGCTCTGTCTCCCCAATCCCCAGGCCACTGGGATGGGAGGGGAGGAGAGGGGGGTCCTGGGGTTCCCCTGGGCCGGGCTGGAGACGCACTTTCACTTTTACTGCCATTTAATAAGCTTGTGTTCCTCTGAGCTTCGTGTTTAATAAAGGTTTCTACTGACTCTGCCCTTTGGCTGCGCTCAGGTGCCTGGGGGTTTTAGGGGTGGTGGGGCCCCCAGTTGAGAAACCAAGTGGTTTAGGGTTTTTGGGGGGTTTTTTTTGTTGTTTTTTTTTCCATTTCAAACTTGGAAAAAGGTCTGCCCATGCCTGGGGCTCCAGGAGGTGCTTTGGTCCTTGTTTGTTTTTTTTTTCCCCCTGCAACTCCACACAGTCCCTCCCATGTGTGAGGTGGGAGCTGGGGCTGATCCTGCCCCTGCTGCTCCTCCAAAGAGATTGTGCTGCAGGGGGATGTGGTGATGGGCATTGCTTTTCTTTTTGGCAGCTCCTGCCCCAACTTGGCTGCACTCCTGCCTGGTCCCCTCCCTGCCTTCCCTGGTTTTGGGGCAGCATTTACATGGAGGGAGGGGCCCCTGGCTGTAGCACCTGCTCTGGGAAGGCTGTGGTACCAGGGGACCAGTGTGTAACCAGTGCATGCATCCAGCAGGCTCCCAGTGACTTCCCAGCTTCCCCTGATTGCCCCAGCACCTCTTGGTGCTGCCTAAAGGCACCTGCTGGCACCAATTCCTGGCCCAAAGTTCGAGCTCACCGTGTCCTTGCTCCCTGGGGACACACCGGCTGCCAGTGACCCTGAGTGCCCCAGTCTTCACCTCACCACACTGTGAGTGAGGGTCACTGGGGACACCCAGGGAGACATGCTTGGAGTTCCCAAGGACCCCCTGGCAGCCTGGAGTGGGCTCAGGGGGACCATGGCCAGCACCTCATGCGTGTGTGTGTGCTTGCTCCCCTCCTGCCTGGCCTCCTGTCTGGTTTGCCTTTGAACAGCCTGATAAATATTTCAGCCCAAGCACGTTGTGTAAGCTCACCCTGCTCCTGTGCCAGCAGGGAATGGGAGCACAGGCTCTGGCCAGGCTGCTGGTGGGTGCTGGGTGGCACAGCTTGGCCTCTTATCTGCATCCCTGTGCCTCTGTTTGCACACCTTGGCACAGTCCCTGGCTCGCTGTGCTGCCAGGGGGTTGTTCTTGCAGCCAGACACGTGTGGATCACGGTGTGCAGGTGTAGGTGCCCAACCCCCTGGCTCAGCTCCCTCCCCTTTCCCAGCTCTCCAGAGCTCGGCAGCAGGGCCAGCCAGGCCCTGGCACCCCCAAACCAGTGCCCAGGAGGGCAGGGGCACACACAGCTCGTCTTGAGCGATCCCTCTGTCTGAGGGAAGAGCTCGTGTTTGCTGTCACACTGTCACCACAGCAAAGGGGGCTTTTCCAGACAAACTGGAAGAACATTCCCATAGTTCTGATCCATGGGGCTCCTGCCCCTCAGAGCCGAGGCAGGAGGATGGGGTGGCAGGTGGGTGGGCATGGGCTCTGGTCCCTGCCCGCTGTTTCCTTCATTACCAGGTCAGTGTTTGTCACCTTGGGGTGACAGGTGCTGCAAGGTTTATGGTTTCCTGCGGGGTGCCCAGCTCAGCCATATGCCAACTCCTCCCCATCCACCCCTCCTTCTCTTCTTGTTTAGTTCCACTGTGGTGGAGGGTGATGGAGGTCTGAAACGCTGCCCAAAGAGGAGAGATCCTGGCCCAGGGAGTGGCTTCCATGGGAGCCATCAGGCACAGAGAGGGGAGAGAGGACTCACAGCGACACCCTGAGCTCCATGGGGCTGTTCCTGTGGCCATCCAACCCCCTCACATCAGCACAGCTTTTCCCTTTTCCCTGAGCAAAGGCAAACCTCTGATGGCATTCACCATCACATTCCCTTCATAGGGAACCTCCTGGGATGCTGGGCCCTTGGGATTCCTGGTCCCCATGGAAGCAGCTCCCAGCAGGGACAGGACTGTGTCCCACTGCCACAGCCCATCTCTGAGGGATGCACTGGCAGCTCCACGTGAGCCACAGAACCATAAAAATAACCACTCTGCCTCCCAGGGATGATTCATGATGCAGCTGAAGGGCTTCCCTCCTGCTATTTCAGATCACTGGAGAAGGAGCTGATGATAGCTGGTTTGGAAGAGCACATGGCAGCTTTGGGAAGCGGCCCCAGGCACTGCCTGGTTTTATTTATCTGCTCCACAGATGCTTTTCTTTGTCAGGCAAAGCCAACACGGTCCAGGAGATGAGAACCCTGCACACATCCTGGGTGAGCTCCATGGGCTCTCAGCTCCTGTTTGCTCCCATCTCTCATTCCCGCAGGGATCGTGCCCATCCAGCCCTGGGCAGCTCCACTGGCACCAGCAAATGCTGGGCAGGATGTGGCCGTGGTGCTGATCCCAGGCAGCCGTGGAGTCTCCTGCCCCTGTGCTGTGAAGTTTGGGCTTGGGGAGAGTCAGGAGAGCCCCACAGTGGGATGAGCTCTGGGACAGCCTGGCAGTGGCTGGGGGACAGAATTAGGTGACCCCCCTAAGGGGGTTTGTACCTTTAACCTAACCCCCCTTGGGGTGTCTGGGCAGCTTTTGGGGTCTCTCTAGGCAAAGATATGTTGTCCCTGCCAGTGCTGATGCTGCCTGTCCCACCTCTGCATCCTGCCTCAAACCTCCATATTTCCACTCTCAAACATCTCCCATGTTTCTTCCACGAGGAAGGAACTTGAGGAGGTCAAGCCCGGCTCTGTTTATTTCCGGAATTCTGGTGAGTGGGTGCTTCCCTTAATTCCAGCCCATTGTGGTCCTGGGGAGCAGAGCAGAGCCCTGGTGTCCCCCTCAGCTGGAGAGATGTCACCATTCCCTGCTGTGGCTTTCAGGGTGCTCTGGAAGCACCTGTGGAAGGAGCTGGGGGCACCAGCTCCCTCCTGCCACTGGCAATTTTGTCCTGGACTTTGCTTTCCCTCACTACCCAGCTGCTCCTCAGGAACTCATGCTGACCCTGAGGCATCCCGATGGGGACAGAGCATGGATTTTAGTTAACAGGAGTGTGGGAAGGCCCTCCCAGGCTTTGCTTTGGTCCATGACAGAGCCCCACCTTCCCACACTCCCTCATAAGGTGATCCCTGTCCCTGCTGTGTCTCCTGCCCCTGTTTTTTTTTCTGCTTCCTTTTGGGTTGGATTTGATGACCACACTCAACAGCTCCAGTCCTCTGACCTCTTTCTGCCTCCCTGGGGTGGGGACAGCCCTGTGCTGTGTGTGTGAGTTCACGTGCCCTCCAGAGCCCTTGGGTACCCCCCCATCAGGGCCCAGGTGTGCTTTTTTTCCACCTGGAACAGCTGGGAGAGGTTAAAAATAGCTGTGATGCATCCTGCAACTGCTCCAGGCTCAGCTTGGAGCCTCTTATCCCTGAGGGAGGAGGGGATGAGCAAACTCCATGTGCCACAGCTCGGTCACGTTGGGATGGGGAAGCATCTCGGATTTGAGACCCAGGTTAAGCAGAGCTGAGCTCAGCAAACAAGGTGTTGCTCAGAGCTCTGTGTGAAAGCAGAGGTGCTGCTCATGGGGCCATCCAAACAAAACCGGTTCATGTCCCTTTCTCTGTGGGTAAAATCCTGGAATATTCTGAGAGGGAGAAGGAGCAGCCCCAAGAAGTCCCTGCACCACATGTGCCCCGTGAGCGTGTGAAGCTCTGCCCAGCCATGGCCTTTTCTGGTTTATTTATCTAATTATCTGTTTCTTGTTTGGGAAAACCCCTGAGGACAGGCTGGGATATGGACATGGATGTCTGTCTTATTCCTCTCCCTGTGCACAGGCCTCCAGGTGTCAGGCAGGGATGGAGGCAGCTCCTGCTTCCTCCTCCTCAGCCATCAGTGTGCCACACTGGAGGGAAGCAGCACCAAGCAAAGGCTGCCTGGCACTGTGGGCAGGCAGGGAAGTCATTTGGAGCCACCCTGGGTACCAGGGGACCACCCCAGGGCCACTGCAACCACAGTGGCACCACCCGTGGTCAAACTGGGGCCAAACCGGGGCCAGCTGGGGAAACCAGGGCTATGCTGGGGCCAATAGTGACCACACTGAGACCACCAGTGGCCAAACTGGGACCAGCTGGGGCCACACTGGGACAGAGATATGCTAGGGGCAATAGTGGCCACACTATGACCACCCATGGACAAACTGAGGCAGCCCCAGGGCCAACTGGGGCAACCAGGGATACCCCGGGGTCAACAGCAACCACACTGGGACCACCCACGGCCAAACTGGAACCAACTGGGGCAACCATGGCTGCCCCAGGGCCAACAGTGACTACACTGAGACAACCCACACCAAACTGGGACCAGCTGGGGAAACCAGGACTACCCTGAGGCCAACAGTGATCAGACCGGGACCACTCATGGCCAAACTAGGAGTGACCCCAGGGCCAACTCGAGCCACCAGGGCTACAGTGGGGCCCAGAATGAGCACACTGGGACCACCCGTGGCCACGCGGGGAGCAACAGGGACACGCGGGGATGGTCACACAGCCCACGGGTGGGACCACACTGGGCTGCACTGGAGCCAACTGGAGAAACCCCGGGGTCCAACTGGGATCACCCCCGCGGCAGCGCCGGGCACCGGGA